GGCACTAAATTGCATTATATGTAGGTCAGTAATTATTAATCAATGTCCTTTTCGGAACTCTCTGGAACGCATTTGGTAGTTATCGAGCCCCCACCTCCTGCACCGAAAAAAGGTTAAAAGTACCACCATCAGTAGCACATGTGTATTCATGATGCATTCGCTAATTATTCATTGTGTTCCGTTCATATATTGCCGAATGAAACCAATGGCTTGCAACATGCGAAAACCACTAGCAATATATTGAATACTGTCGCGTCGCAATTCGTGCTTAGTAATCGTGTTTGTTGATGCAACTGGTATTGTTCACAATCCATAGTAATGAAGACGGCGGTATTCCCCACACATGGCGCCGAGTAGATCATCGAGTCTCGTCCGAAACAGGCTAAGAAATGCTCCTCAGTACTGCAGCGTATGATACAAGTATAAGGAACATTGTTTCATTAAATAGGGAAATATTTTTAAGACAGTATCACTCAATTCATCTTTGACAAATGGGATCTCAAGTTGAATTCTTTGTCGCGTCACCATCCGCTTCTGTATTAATCTCCGAAAGGTTCCAGGTAAAAAAAGCTACAGAGCCATATTTATTCATATATGGTCGATATAAGCGGCTATTCCGAATGAAGTCATGTTTTAAGGGAGTTTCTTGTGAAACCCGAACTTGATGAAACTTGAAATTTGCTGTCTTTCTGCTTCAGATAGAATGAACTCACACAGAAGGTACTAACCACGACCAACTTCATCAAGTGATTTGAAAATCCATCCATAATAGCATAGTTCCTGCCGTTCGAGGGAGGGACTTGCTGTGTAATTTTGTTCCTATCTTCGGAAAACAAAACCACTGTCATTTTTCAGTCAACCAAAACTAGACCACCAGGATCCGGAGACCAGCCAGTAGAACAAAGTTGTACCAGAATACCACACGAGCATCAGTTTACGGGTCGTTGATTCGCATCCATACATGGCTAGCTCTGATTAGAAACTATCCTACTATACACAAGTTACACTGTGGCCCGTTATTTAACAATCGCGAAAGCAAGATTATCCTATCACATTCATTCAACTTGGTGGCATTTCACCTCATTTAAGTTGGTTAATTAGCATTCACGAAGAGTTTTCAGCCCAACCCCATGAGTGGTGTTTCTCCAAACTAATTAGTATCTTCACTCTTTCGCTTGACTGATCAAGAACCTGTGTAGCGCATTAGAACACATTGGTACATTCAAGACAAAAGCCCATTCTAAAGATCTTTTGCTGTCCCAACTATGGTCCAGTTAGTTGATACGTTCTTGGCTACTTCGATTTGTGTCACGTTTGGGTTTCTGTAAAATCCTCCCCTCCTCACACTTGTGTGGGTCCAGCAGCGTTCCATCTGTATCCATTCCTTTACAGAAACGACATACCATGGGAGATATAGACGATGAGATTTATAAAACCGTAGTAAATAGCTGTGTAGAACAATCGTGCTCATGTATGGATGAGGAATCAGTGTTTCCTATTACGACGGAACATGAAGTGGTTCCTTGTGTGGAGATAGTATCCCCTGGAGACAGTCCTGTCAGAAGGGCATAACTTCGATGTACATGAATTGGAGATACAGCAGGTGATCACCTGGGGGAGCCGTTCTAACTTGAGAACAGTTGCTTGCCTAAAATGAATTTGTTAGAGATGTTCCACGGAAAAAATTTAAACAATCAAGTCCAACGAACCAAATGACATGTTTACTTTTCGAGAGAGGCACTTTTCTTCACACAATCAATCTTTATTCAAACATTTGAGTCCTTGTTTCATTTTCCTCTGAGTCTTAATTTCTTCGGCGCGTGTCGTTAAGACACACAGCCTTATTAAGTCTTCCAATAAAGGTCGAACGGGTTCATTGAAAGACGGTCGATAAGATCACCCTAATGCAGAATAGCAGTTCTAGCCAATGAGACTACCGTAGACCACAAACTGAACATTAGTTGTCTTACTCAGAATGGGTTCAACCAATCTGCTTAAGATTAGGCAGGGTGCGAATTTGGGTCAAGTCCATAGATGAGAATTTCAGTCATCCGTTCGCTTCACATCTTGGTGAGTGGAACTCTCCGGAAGTATTTTCTGTTAGATTACTGGAAGATTTTGAAAGCTGGAGAATTCAGTTGCAAAGTTGGCAAGTTTCTTCAGCGAATGCTTACTTACGATATAACAAACAGGATACAGATAGTCATTAAGGTGTTGCCCAGATGGAGATTCTTTTGAGACAGAGTACTGAAGCGTCCCACACAGTGTGTCAGTGATTTTTAGAGGGACTATCACGGCCTACGGTGAATACTGCTCGGTAACAACTGAATGAGCCAATATTTTGTGTAGACGTAACACACAACTCACAACACTAATATTCAGGCTTCGCCTAGGAATGAACAGATTCGTCCTAAACTACATCGACACGTAATACGGCAATAACTGTTTCTATTTTCTTTCCCATCTTGGTCCGGCTTGTGTAGTAAACGTCACGACTAAGCTCATTAACTACGTTTAATCTTCGATCGCTATTTTCAGGACACGCTGTCAGGTTGTAACCGTCCGTTAAACCTTCTGCCGAAACAGAACTCGGCAGTGGGCAAGACTAAATCGATTAGTTTCATTCACATGCTGTGGGCTACCGTCGCCGGTTTGTTTGTTTCCGTCAGTAAGGTAACCCGGATTGTTTTTCAACAGCATTAAGTAGTCGCCTTTGTGTCTTTCCAATAATTTACTAAAATTCACATTGATTTGTCGTTATTTTTCGGTGAAGTTGGTTTGGACTGCCTGCAATTGCAGGACATTTTATGCCGTGTCACAGAAAGGTGTGGTGTGTTATTCAGCCCGACTGTTCGTTCTTAGGATTATTCTTCAACAGACAGTTAACTGGTGCAGTCTTTTCTAGACTGCTCTAGAAGACAGAACATGAGTGGACAAAATATGCAACTTCATTGTAGACGGTAATATGGACTTCTTTCCCGAGAAGATATTCTTTCGAATCTGTCAATTCCACCTTTGAAACGAAGAAGTAGATTTCACTGACCTGCTGGAACAGTGTCCAGATAGCTTTGAACTTTTGTACAACATTGATCCAAAACCAGTTCATCATATAAGCTTTGGAGAGGGATTGGTGTCTTGGGTCTCTTTTCTATCTACTCATGAGAACACAAGCTGGAGTTACATGAAGCAAATTCCCTAACCCCAGTTTTACTCAGTTTGTGATGCCTCGCGCCTGGCAAACTGTTGATTCTGTCTAGAGGTATGTTCGAACGGAAGGCTCAATCCTATTATTAATCTTGTCAACAAGGCTCGTCCGCTAGAGTGAATTCCGAGCCAACTGGGTCTTTATACTACGAACTAAACTGACAACTATGCTGAATATGGCCGCAATTTCCCTCAGATATTTAGGTTTCTTGTCTTTCCTTCATTTCAGTGAAAAATAACCTCCCGTTTTGTCATTTTCGGTCCTGCAGTAGCTACTGACAACATACACGGATAAACGGTACATGTCCCGTGTGTGCTTTCCTTTAGGCACAAAAAAAACTAGTTGCATTTTCGAGTCAATTTATGCTCGCAATTTGCGGTAGAAATCAGCTGACTAGGAGATAATAGTGCGGCCGAATGCGGACAGTCGCCAAAGGAATGAATACTTTTGACTGTATCGATGATCATGTGATCGGAAACCACTCTACAAACAATGGTGTGATATCCACGTAACAGACATCTTTGTTCGCTGCAACTAGTATACACAAAGACAACTATACAAAACCTATCAACTGATCTGGATTGGATAAACACCATATAAACGGATAGACAGCCAGTCCCGTTCACTTTTCACTCAAGCTGCTGAGCGCTGCCAACAGAGTTTTAGGACATAGTTTTGACGATAGATAGAGAGGGAGAGAGAGAGAGAGCAGGTAAACAGACAAACAACAAGCACACACGCTGCAGGCCATCGACAAACAATAGCTGCAACAGTTACGGGACAGTAAGATTGGTGACCTGGTCTTTCGTTGTGGTTCAAATCGGGGAGTAAAAACAGTTCCTCCAACAATAAAAACCGGAAAGTGACAGATTACTAAATGAATTTAGCACAAATTAGTTACTTTTTGCACGACAAACAACTATACAAAACCTATCAACTGATCTGGATTGGATAAACACCATATAAACGGATAGACAGCCAGTCCCGTTCACTTTTCACTCAAGCTGCTGAGCGCTGCCAACAGAGTTTTAGGACATAGTTTTGACGATAGAATAGAGAGGGGAGAGAGAGAGAGCAGGTAAACAGACAAACAACAAGCACACACGCTGCAGGCCATCGACAAACAATAGCTGCAACAGTTACGGGACAGTAAGATTGGTGACCTGGTCTTTCGTTGTGGTTCAAATCGGGGAGTAAAAACAGTTCCTCCAACAATAAAAACCGGAAAGTGACAGATTACTAAATGAATTTAGCACAAATTAGTTACTTTTTGCACGACAAACAAACTTTCTTCCAGCTGCTGATGTAACTTTTGCTAACTGCGAAACAAAGGACACTAAACGCTGTAAATTATCGCAAGATATGGACTGAGAAACAACTGCGGGCTGTCCAGATGTAAGAAAAATAAAAAGGATAGAGGGTATTTATGTAGATCAACCCCTAATTAGGACCTCAGCTTAATCCCTTTCCCAAGCTCAAGGAAACACTGCTTAATTCTATCATTATTTTTTCAGTATGGTATCGCACTATGTGCCGTCTGGATAACTTTCATAGTGTAGTGGTTTGTGGTTGAAGTTCGACCTCAACATCAAAACGGATCATGTTTACTGTGCTGATCAGTAGTCCCCCTTCCAAACAGACACACTGAAAGATTACTGCGAGGAACCTGTGCACCGAACTTCACCGCGCGACGAACCTACTCACCAATATCCTACCACTTTGTTCCACAGGTTTTAGTAATGGCTTCCACTGAATCATTGAGTTCGGAACAAGGTTTCAGATGGCCATTTTTTAGGACAGTTCCAACGAATGGGATACACAAAGAACGGTCTCACTTCTGCTGAAGTAGACACATCTGCGAGCAAATATGAGGCTGGGAGCAGTAGGCATAGAAATGAACTGTGGATTGTATGTGGTTTAGGAGCGCCATTCACAGTGAAAACGCGTGAGTCGTGACTGAAACGAACTACGTATCCGAAGGTGATCATATCAATCTTACGGAAATCAAGGCATACTAGAAAGCTAGTTCGTGCGTCAGTCTATTGGGGTGCCTACTTGAGTTATGTGAAGATCTTTGCTCCTGATATTCCGTAACAGAACCATTAATTGTAGATTCGCAACCAACAATGGAGTTAGATACTCATTATCATACTATTCAATTGAAAATACCGAAAAAATCAGATCTCATGGTCCTGGGAACATCACATAACGGTTATGGTTGGTTTAGTTTGTGTCCATCTAACTTTCGTCCGGACGTTACTTCTCTTGGCGCTCTCTAACCCTTCTGGTGCATCCATGCGACAAAGGGGAAACAATGAACTCGAGTTTCACTTTCAATCTAGCTCACCAACAGCGAATGTCTTTGGCTACGCAATGATTTGAACGCCAGAAGTTTGAAGTGCGACGCGAGTGTTCGCACACAATGAATGCATATGAATTATCGCGCTCCGCAATTAAACAGGTGTGGTCTACCCGACTGACGCTGGGCGGGTAATGATTGGACGGACCTTTAGTCCAATGCGTCATTGCTTTCGTGTAGGTAAACTAGAATCTTGGCACCAAGAAAGGAGCCGAAGAGTTCAGTTGTGGATACAAACATGGCAAATCTCACAACCAGCCATGAGCAAGTATTTTAGAGGATTCCGTTTTTTCAGAGAACGCTGGAGTTCCTTCCACGGTTTAAGACATTGTCCCGTCTTTCCAACGTTTGGTCATTCACATAACAGACACAGAATCGCATTTGCATTATGTTCTGCCCTCAGACTGTCCGACTGGCATGAACGCAAAACATGGCCTGCAAACAAGACTTTTATAAAAGTTCAAAAAAGACCTAGGTTCACGATAAACCAATTATGGTCGTATAGCTTGGCTTAAAGTCAATCGATAATCCCTCCTTCTTCTGCCATGTCGGTCATGTCTGAAGCTATAAATGATGGTTCTCGAGAAGGAATCATTTATCCTCCCATTCGGTAGCAGCTAACTTCCAACAAAGAATGGTGATTGAGTAGCCTTTCTGTGAGTAGGAACGGGCTCATGACGCTGTTCTGAAAACCGGAGGAACTGACGGATGATCTCAGAATTTTTAGGTGAGCAAACCAACTGCTTCTTTATCTCATCATCAGGCTCGAAATGACTTGTGGTTCCCAAAAGTTCTGTGCACGTCTGCTCGTCAGCCGTATTTTTTCGGAGTCGCAATATCGCGTTCAGCTCCGAGGCGACTGCTTCCAGTCCCCCATCTAAGTTCAGGCTAATTTAATCAGTTTTTTCAACAGATCCATCTTGAATAACAGGTAATCCAGAATTCATCAGGCCTCCACCTGAACTTTCGTTACGATTGCACCTGCTACACATACATCTGTGTGCATACACCTGCGATGAATCAAGAACTTTAGCTTAACGTGCAGTCGTTCTGGACTTTGGACTTTAAGAAACAGCATAGTTCTATGGTGTAGACCATTTGTCACCACATCTGGTCATCAAATGTTCAGCGTGGACACGGTCGTACAAAACATGCAAGAAAACAGTCTTATGTAGAACCTAGCTCAAAGCCACTTAACACAATATGCTAAATATTCAGTCAACAAACGGAATTCAACTTTGTCGGATGAAGACTGAAGCCAGCACCGATAAATGAAGAAGCCGATGAGAAGCTCAACTGATGTGATTCAATGTGATGAGCATAAAAGTTCTTCCTACGGATAAGGAAAGGGAGGATAAAATACTTTCTGTAGTAATACTCCGAGGAGATTAATGAAAATCATCAGCATGCAATGACAAAAATCATCACACGGTTTGGAAGTTCAGTGAAACTACTAGCTAGTGTTTATATTTTCTAGTAAACAATTTTTTCTGGTTCTGCTGAATGTCTCCGAGGTATATTATCAGGTATTCTGAAGCTGATCACTATCTGAAACGTGCTTGCTTCCTAACGAAGTCTCGGTAGTTTGCAGATTTCACGTGACTGCCTATCTTTTTCTGACTACCAGTCAAAACAAATAAATCGTTCGGCTGTAACATCCTTTCGGCGCCTAGCTGTCATGCTACTCGAAGGAAGCACGAGGGCTAAGTCGGGTTGAACCACGGCCCTTCCCGGGAAGAAATCCGCGATCGAACCACCGAGCCATCTTGTCTTGAGTAGTGAGATGAAACGTTTATTGTGATGATAAACAAAGGGAGATCCAGTAACGTAAATGGAGGCCCTAATCTCCAGACTTGTTCACTCGACTGCTGAGTGTTTCCTACTGGTAAAAGCAGGACTTTTACGTTGTCACTATTGTGATCCACAATCCAAGTAAAATTTCGCTAACAGACGATTGTGTGATGCGTCAAACTGCGTGCGAATCGTACTTTGCAAAAACTGGTAGTGGTCAAGCCACCTTGCTATCCAGTGTTTTTGCCATCCTAGGCCACCGAATTTCTTCGGGCGATGTGATACTGGAGGGGACTGGTGGACTTTCGAACCGGAAAGCATCCATGCCATATACTGTACATGGCGCGATCATGAAGGCCTTGGTGCACACACAGCCACACCAAAGGTTCACCAGAAAATCTGGGCTCCAGCCTATGATATGCGAGTTCTTGTTAATCAAAGGGATTTGGCATGTGTTCTTTAGATGGTAGCTAAGGCTAACCAATTGATGGACCTGTCTTTGCATGTGGTTTTTCACCAGCTACGCCAGTCAGTTCCATTTACTTAACCCCATTAGACTTGCGGAAAATGAAGGAGCTTCTTTTCGGCGATAAGATCAGTTACGCGGGTGGCGTTTACCACGATTGTCTAAGAAATGAAACCGTTGGTGTCTTTTTTACACTCACGAACGATTTCCTCGCAACGTTATGAGGGGAAATACAGGAAAGTGAGCTCTGTTTACGGAGTGAGTCTTTCACACTTCACTTACATTGTGTTCAATTGTCTTTGGACCGTTCTCTATAGTTGAATGATTTTACACATGGCGAACAGGGTCATATAAGAAGGCCATGTTAAGATTGAGTAATTCTGCACGATGGTGGCATAATTCCCACCGCAAACCACCTGTTCTCCGTAGCCTTTCTGCTTGATTGTAATGACATTGAAAAAACTGTACGCTACTAAACAGCCTCCTTATAATAACTCGGCTTACAGTAGTCTCGCAATGAATTGTTTCCGGATTTGACGTTCCGGTTGTAGTAGCCCGCTGGGGCAGTGTCCGCGGATGTAGAGTGATCCGTCAACAGAGATCCAGCAAAGCGAAGACAGTCCATAACAAGTATGAACTAAATTTCCATAGAATCTCGGCCAACTGAAGCTTCATAGAGGGTGCACATACCCTCGAACTCCTAAAAAGCTTGATGAATCTATTTTCAAAAACATGAGAAAAATCAAAAGGACAATTCTGAACATTCGCATCACTCCCAGTGAGTTTTTTAAGCTCCGTCTTTCAACCTCACAAAAACCCTACCGCTCGTTGATTTTTTGTCAATGAGCCAGGACACGATTTTTACCGTAGCTACCTTGCGATGCCGGTATACTGCCTAGCTTTTGATCAGATATTCATACGCCTCACGTACTGTGCAGCGTTCCGCTTTGCTGATTTCGCATCAACTACTCACGTACCTACTGCAATACACCGTATTTGAACCAGCTTTTATACCTTGCGTCGTACTGAAATTGCTCATACAAAGTACAAGTAAAATAGTGTGTATGTGGAAGCATTTATACCATTCTGAACGAATGATCACCTCTTTCTTTTTACGGGGAGAGCAACCTTCCGATAAGGGCAACGTTGATTGACCCTTTGACACTAATTTTACGGGGTGTAGATCTTCTGGAACCTGTATTCATATCAGTTTCGCCTAGACGATCCTCCCCTTCCTATCTTTAATTTTTACTATCTGGAACCTTATTCATATCAGTTTCGCCTAGACGATCCTCCCCTTCCTATCTTTAATTTTTACTACTCTGCGATGCACATCCTCAGCTATACCGGTATTTAAAGCCATGACTTCCGACACGCCACTATCTCAGCAGCTAACACTGGAAGAACCTAGATCACTATGCTTGATTCAGCAAACGTTTTCACTGTTGACCGATTTGTTCAGTGACCAACTAAGACTCTTGATTGTGTGGATGGTCAAAACCTAAAAGGCAATTTCGGGTAGCCGCAGGATCCGTGAAACTTACTTTCATATCACCTCTCCTAGAACAGAAGATTCCTGTTTGACTCTCCCCATTGTTTCTTCTGAAGAAAACAACTAGAAATTGAATAAAGACAGACCTTTTTAATGGATGGATCATTTGAAATGGATATCTTATCCACAGTAACGAAAATGAAGCCATGAACTGGAGGGACAAAACTTACCTTGAAAATGTTCGCACATGAGGATGATAGACTCCAGTGAGTTAGAGAAGTTTGGTTCAGAAATGCCAAAAATAATCAATACCTTATGTATTTTTGATGTCGAGGCATGGGTGTAATTTTCATATGGCGCTCCGAAAAGATTCCACATATGATTTGATAGGGATTGTAAAGTTCCTTGTTGAGACTATTAGGATGTTTCGCTATCAAGTTAAAGTGGTTCAGGTTGTTTTGGAACTCTAACACGAACTTCGAATCTTTCTGAACATACCACGTTAACATGAAGCCACTGCGATATTTCTTTAGAAACACTTCAGGATTCTCATCGTTGAACGGCGCTCTTAGGAAGAAAGCAAATCCTGGTTAAAATACCATCGCCTTAACGCCGAGGCTGGCTGAAGACTATCACTAATAGGACTGTGATGATCGAAGCTTCGAGGTGGGTATGGACGAAGCATTCTTTACAAAGGAAACAGGATACTCAATTCCTGTGAAACGGGATTCAAGTACATTAGAACAGATTCGAGTGTTTGCTTGTAAGCGACTAGGATAATTCGTTTACTTTCTTAGTTTAAGTGATGTTTCCAGGTTCGGTTTTCTTGTTCATAAG